TGCTTTGATCTCTATCTTTCTACTTTTTCATGGCTTTCAGGGAATTTCATTCACAGGCTTCTCATTACATCTTGACCTCTCTCCTTACCCTTTCCTTCCCTTGCTCCCAGAATCTGTGCTCAGCATTTCCCATTCCTTCCTCCCTGCTCTTTCCTGTGGCTCCCCAATCTCTATCTTTCTACTTTTTCATGGCTTTCAGGGAATTTCATTCACAGGCTTCTCATTACATCTTGACCTCTCTCCTTCCTTTGCTCCCAGAATCTGTGCTCAGCAATTCCCATTCCTTCCTCCCTGCTCTTTCCTGTGGCTCCCCACTCCAGTCCATAGCTGTGCTGGTGATTAACCTCAGTGAGTGCCACAACCACATTAATTTTTAACCCCCATTCTCCCAGCTCTCTTTCTCCTCTGCTTCTTTCACCACATCCAATGACTTTTCCTTCCCCAGGCTTTAAATGCCATTTCCCCTTGATGAACCAGTCTCCTTCTCTATCTTCTTCCTGGTTGTCCTGCTCAGGCTGCAGTTCCACAAACAGTTTTTTGGGGTTTTTATGCCTCTTAAGTTCCCAGTTTATGGCATAGCCTACAGAAGCAGTCCTGCCAGCATAACAGAGAGGAATTTGGGTGGGAAGCATGTATGTTAGCCATGCTGTTGGACATTTCAGTGGGACTAGTCTGCTTCCTTTCAGTAGTTTTGGTTTTACTAGTTCTTTCCAGCTCTGTGTTCAGAGCAAATGAAGCTCTGCTGTCATGATATCTTGATGTCTGGAGAAAGCTGTTGTGCAGGTTTTTTTTCTGCTTTTTAAGTGCTTTTTCTCACAGCAAAGCAGGAGATGACTTGATAGGGGTCTTTATTCTTATTTATCATTCCTCTGTTGATTCCCTCTCATCTTGAATTTACCTTTACAGGCTGGGGTGTTGTGGGTTTTTTTTCATCTTGTGAGTGCTGAAATGGATTTGTATGTCCTGCTTAAAATCCTTCCCATCAAAACAGAAGAGAAAACAAGAGGCAGATCTGTCTGGGTGCTTTGTGCCTACTAGACTGTCCTCATTCTCTGTCTTGTGCTGAAGAGGAGTAAAAGCTTCATGAAACTCACTTGAAGGCATCAATTTCTGCCCAGCTTTTGTCAGCTAACAATGGAACCACAGTCTGGATCAGGTTTTATTTGGCACTGTCACAGAATTGTAGCTCTTTAACTGGAGATGTGATTTCCTGGTACCTTTCATTTTTTGTGGTTATGTTGCCCCTCATCTTTTCCTCTAAGAGGGCTTTCTAGTCCTGTTCCAGAAGACACTCATGTGGTAATGGCTCAATAATGTTCTGAGTTCATTCCTGGGGGGTTGTTCATGAAAACACAGTGCTGGGAAAAGTAACTTCTACAAGTTTGTTTTGCTGTCTTCTCTAAATGCTAGACAGCACAATGGTTGAATAAAGTTAATTCCAGGTAGATGGGTGTTTGGGGAATACCCAGACACATCATCCTCCCTGGGAATGTTTAAAGGATCCCAAATAACTCGGGGTGTTCAGTTGCAGGACCAGCGTTGCCCCCAGGCTATAAAAGCAGCTGCAGCTCAGAAGCTCCTGACAGTGAGGAGGACACAAACTCTGAAGAGGAGACAGAAGGAGACCCAGCACCCAAGTGAGGATGTTCTTAGGTTCTTTGTGTATTTACACTGCACTGCAGATGAAATGTGCCTGCTTAAATGGTGGGCAAGGGACAGTCTTCTATGAATAGAGAGGCAAACCTGGTGCCTGTGTAAACCTTGGTGACATGTTCTGCATGTTCTTTGCCTTCAGGTGACCTCTTTTGACACCCAAAGGTGGAATTAAGCTGTTTAGAGCAATCAGGGCTCTGTCTTTACTTGTTTTCTTTTAGTTCTGCTGTTAAAATAGTCAAATCTTTAACATTTTGCTTGTTTATGCTAAGCACAGACACCACTCCTCATGTATCTAAGCATGTGATGAGTTCTGCCCTCCCAGTTTCTGGTATACTGAGTTCTACACTATTTATGGGCATGAATGTATGGATTCTATTAAGTCAAAGCTAATGAAAAAAAGCCAAATTGTTTAGTAAATAACAGGAGCCTGCCCATACTCTCCTGCAGTGGCTTTGTTTGAGAACGTGTGTGCTCCTGCCAGGCCTCGTATAAGGGATGTGAAGGGGACTGTGCCATCTTCATGAGTGTTATAGTAATTACTACTCACTTTTCTCTTGTCTTATTCAACAGTTTTTCAGTTCATCAGAGCTGCACTGAGAAAAACACTAGTCAAAATGCAGACAGTGTATAAAAAGGGGTGAAGGAGTGTGCTGGATTTAAAATCACTTTGTGACTCAGGGGTGGTATTTCGACATTGGGCTGCCCTTCTTTCTGCAGCTAAAGCATTCTTAATGTTGTTTAAATGTCAGAGCATCTTCAGAGTGAAGTTTATACTCCCAGTTTTTTAATTGCTTCAAATTATTTTGGATCCTTTTTGTCCTGTTGCCTTGGTAACAGCAGGATATTTAGTACGTGAGACTATAGGAAATAATTCTAGGTAGTTTCTTCCTCTTTCAAATGTGGCTAATTGATATGCATGTCAAGGTAATTAATAAGTGACATCTTTGTCTTTGTAGAAAGCAAAAAAGAATTCAGGAAGACGGTGATGATGATGATGATGATGATGATGGTTTCTTTGGGCCTGCTCTTCCTCCCGGATTTAAAAAACAAGATGATTCTCCAGAGAGGTAATTAAAGTAGAATTCTATTCAGACTCTTTTCCTTAAAACACAATTCTTTGAGATTAAATATTTTGTGGCACTGTTACAGAACACTTCAGTTGTGCACTTGAGGTGGTTGGAGAGCTTCCTCTGTGTTCTGAGAAGGGGAGCAGAAGCAGAACATGTGACACTCCTAATCCTGGCTGGAAAGAAAAAGAGAAAAAAATGTGAATTGTCCAAGTTCTATTCTGAATATCAAACTTCCTCCATTCCTTGTGATAGGTCTGGGAGCAGTGCAGTGGAATAGAGGTGCAAGGACGTGAAGTTCTGGGCTGTGAGGGAGCACAGAGCACTTGGCTTTTGAGTGGTCCAGTGCAATGGAGATTCTTGGAACTGCCCTATGCTGCTGCACCAAGGATTTCTGTCTGCCCAGGTAGAAAACCTGAAGAGTGCAGGTGTCTGGAAAGCAAGCTGCCAGGTCTAAGCAAGTAAACACTCTTCATAGGCTGTATCAGGAAGCTTTCCATTTGATCACATACAATTCTAAAATACTTCCTGAAAAAAACCTGTTGATGGATTTTTCTGTGCAGAACTTGACCACATCTCACAACTTTCTAATCTTTACATCAGTCTGTGCACTTCCTGCTATACTTTGGAATGGTAATCCATAGTGAAGTGGGATCACTATGATTGATCTTCATCACTGCTGTCTTCCTCAGAGCACTAGGGAGCTGGGAGATGAAATAAATCACTACCCACCTGCCAGGTCTGAGTTTTCATACCTGACTAGGGAGGTGATCATCACACTGGTGAGGCCACAGCTCGAGTACTGGGCTCAGTTTTGGGGCCTTTATTACAAGAAGGACATTCTGGAGCAGGTCCAGAGAAGGGCAGTGAAGTTGGTGAAGGGTCTAGAGCACAAGTCATGTGAGGACAAGCTGAGGGAACTGGGGCTATTTAGTCTGAAGAAAATGAGGCTCAGGGGAGACCTTATCCCTCTCTGCCTCAAAGGAGGCTGTGGAGAGGTGTGTGCTGGTCTCTTCTCACAAGTAACTAGCAATAGGACAAGAGGAAAGAGGCTTGAGTTGCACCAGGGGAGGTTTTTGTTGGGTATTGGGAAAAATTTCCTCACTGGAAGGGTTGTCAAGCCCTGGAAGAGGCTGCCCAGGGAAGTGGTTGATTCACCATCCCTGGGTGTGTTTGAAAGCCAGGCAGATGAGCTGCTCAGGGACAGGGCTTAGCAGTGGACTTGGCAGAGTTACCTCAATGCTTGGACTTGATGATCTTAAAGGTCTTTTCCAGCCTAAACAATTCTGTGATTCAGTTCCAGGAAAGTGACTCAGCTGGGGTTTGAGCTGTATTACACCATCTTGCAGGAATTTTCAGAGCTTAATTTTTATTTATTGGGTTTGTTTTGTTTTGTTTTTTTTTTTTCAAATTTGGATAAATCTTTGTGCTGCCTGGCAGCAGTTAGGAAAAGAAGAATTTATGGAACTAAGGTTATTTGGAAGGATCCTTTTTGTATCAGTTTGGTTACACTTTGCTGTGATGAACAGACTCTTGTAATTTGGGTATCATGCTCAGTGGGCTCATTTCATGCTGTGACATGCCAAGAGTAACTAATATTATTTCTTTATCTTGGGTTTCAGTTGCACAACGTGTTATTTTAATTATGAAATTTAGGAATTCATTGAAAATAATGTGATTTGTATCAAGGCAAATAAATGCTTGTAGCTTTTAGCATCAGCAGAGGTATCCTTCCTTGCTTGATTCTTGGCACAAATACTCCCATGGTAAAATGTTCTGTCAGAGTGTGTAGAGGAAGAGGAGAAGAACAGAGGTGACTTGTAGGTTGGAGGTTAGAGAGATGAGCAGTGAAACAGGTGGTCACCCCTCCTCTCACCTTAGTCTGTTGTATCCTCATCCAGTTTTTATTTCTCCTGAGCAGTTTATTTCCAAAATGCTGCCCAGCTCTGTGTCTGTGACAGACTGAAGCAGCAAAAGGCACTTGCTGGTTTTTCAGGGGTGTTTTTTTCTCTTAAATCCTAGCTCACCACACAACTGCTCCTCACACAGGCTGAGGAAGCAGCTTGAGCAGAGCTGCTCTGCACCCAGGCTGGCAGGTGGGGAAGGTGTGATGGGTGGGAAGAGCCTGGGCTGCCTCCCTCCCCCAGCCTGCTGGTGCTGGCAGGGTGCAGACAGGAGCTGTGAGCTGTCTGCCTGCTGCACTGCCCTGGCACACTGGGCAGCCCAGGAGTAACCCCAACAAACACAGGCTGTTTGTCTCAGTGTGTGGACGTGCTGTTCATTAGCTCCCCTTCTAGAAAAGCTTTTGTTCTGTTACATCTCTTCCAGACTTGTCAAAGCAATGTATTCATGATCAGGAGCAGCTCCTGTGGCAATCTGCAGCTTGTTAAAAATTGTTTGACTTACTCCAAGGTAAAATAGCCATAGATTTCCTTCAGTTTTGGGGAGGGTGTTGCTGTTTCTGGGTGTTAGACAGCAGTGCAGCACTCATAAACATTCCCAAAGTATTCACACATCAAGGTGAAGAGCAAAGGTCATCTTAAAACCAAATTAAAACACATATGAGCAAGGACTCCAAGTCCAACAAGAGGAAAGCATTCTTTGCCATGTATGAAGCCCAGTATTCCTTAAATGAAGCAGAAGTTCAGAATCAAAGTTCAGGAGTTTGGGATGTTTTTTTTTGAATAGATAGATATCAAAATTGCCAACAGCAGCAAAATACAGAGTTTTATTTAGATTCACTTCACCTCTTTCAGAGAGACTTTGGACATCAGGGAGCTGCCAAGAGTTGTCAGCTGTGTGCTGCTGAGGAGGGACCCAAACAGTGGGGTTATTCAGAGAATCTTAGAATCCTTTAGGTTGGAAGAGAGCTCCAAGATCATCCAGTCCAACCATCAAGCCAACACTCCTGAGTCCTCTGCTCAAACAGAATCAGAATCTGTCAGGGCTGGAAGGGACCCCAAGGATCCCCCAGTTCCAACCCCCCTGCCATGAGCAGGGACACCTCCCACTAGATCAGGCTGCCCAGAGCCTCCTCCAGCCTGGCCTTCAAGACCCCCAGGGATGGGGCCTCAACCCCCTCCCTGGGCAACCCATCCCAGGCTCTCCCCACTCTCCTGGGGAAGAACTTCTTCCTCACGGCCAGTCTGAATCTCCCCACTGCCAGCTTTGCCCCATTCCCCCCAGTCCTGCCACTGCCCCACAGCCTAAAAAGTCCTTCCCCAGCTTTCCTGGAGCCCCCTGCAGCTCCTGGAAGGCCACAGGAAGGTCCCCTGGGAGCCTTCTCCTCTCCAGGCTGAACAGCCCCAACTCCCTCAGCCTGTGCTCCCAGCAGAGGGGTGGGGATCAAGAGCACAGCAATGGCAAACGTGGGAGGGATGAATACAGGAACCATTTGTCTATTCCTTGGAAGAGCTTTGGAGCTGGGAGAGAAGCAAGGCAGAGTATTGAGATCTGCTCTTCTTCACAAGTCACACAGCTACAGCCCACAACAGAGATGTTCTTCCAGATCTTAGTAGAAAGGTTTTTTTATAGTTTGGTTTAGCTGCCTCTCCATGCAAAATAAAGGTACTTATATACTGAAATAAAATATTCATTTGGCTGTATCTGTATAGGTTTAAATTCCACCTCTATCCATTATATTGGGAGTTTAAAATCTGGTCTGAACAAGAAAGCAGTCACAAAAGGAAGAGGGCAAGGGAAAAGCTGTTGCTTTTTTGCAGCAGCTAGGTGGGGATGGAACTTCAGATTCAACCCAGGCCTCTTACCTGGGTTTGAAACCTCACCAGAGCCCAGAAAACAGGACTTGGTACTTTTTATTTCCCCTCTTGACAAGTCCTGATAATACTATCAGTACAGCAGGGCTGTAGCAATGAGATGATGGAGGATTTAGCAGAAGACCATAATTATCATCATTCAGTTCATGCTGTGTTACATCTGAGTGCCCTAAAGCTCAAAAACTGAAAATCCTAAACACTTTCTGTGTCCCTGGAAGCAGCTGAATTGTGCTGCTCGTGGAGCTGCTGTGGAGATACAGATCAGTGGAGTTACCTGGGACCACAAAACTTCCCTCTTCTCCCCACTCCAAGGGGAAATGAAATCCAGATCAGTGCCATTCACTCATCTGTGTGTTGAAGGGCAGTGAAACTGTGGTGCAAGGCAAGAAGGAGCCAAATTGGCTTTGTTGCTAGAGGAAGAGTAGCACATAAGTGACCTCTCACCTCTCCTTGTTCTTCAATCTGGTGAAGGAAGCTGGAGAAGAAAAAAGTGGATTCCTCTGACTATATCCTGCAACTTTCCAGGTTTCCTTGCCTCCCAGCTGTCTGCAGAGGTCCTCCTGGAAAAGGCAGACACTCTTCTTACTCAGTTATTTCAGGGGGCACACTGGGTGTGAGGAGGAAGGAGAATCACACTTCTCATCAACATTCAACTGGTAGTTTTATGTTAATCTGTGACTTCTTTTTCCTGCAGCAAACAGTGGAAGGCTGTCATTTGTTGGTTATATGTTCCTTGCTTCCCCACCCCAAAGCTGAAAACCAAGATTTGATCTTTTTTTGTCCCCCCTGCAGGCCCATTATAGGTCCTGCATTACCTCCTGGCTTTAGGAAACCTCCCCAGGACACTGGGAACAGCAGATGTTGCACAGGACCCTCTGTTCCATCAGAATCCCACAACCAGGTGGGTGAAAACAGAAATCCTCATTTTACCACAAGCTCTCTGAAATGCTTGAACAAGCAGGAGCCTGAAAAAGTCCAACAGATCTACTTGAAATCATGAGAGTTTAATTTTGGAGCAGCAAGTGCCTGTTTCTGGTCTGGTTCATTGTGGTTTTGGTGTTAGACTGATGATCCACTTGCTGAAGATCAGAGATCTAGGAATCCTAAACTGCAGGCACAGGAATTCTTCCCAGTGTTTCTCTGTTCCTTTGGTGGGACCTCCTTCACCAGGTGAACATCTTGGCCAAGTCCAAGTCCTTAAAGACATTAAAGAAGTGATGAATGAAAACATTTACCTATAATTCAAGTTTTCACTGCTTTGCTGATGGGGGAGCAAAATGATTATTTCACACATCTTCATCTCCTTTCAAATATTTCTTAGTGGATGTGTTAAATAAGTTTTTCTCCAAAAGAATGCAAATCAAGAATGACATTAGAGTGTCACTAATTGTTCTGAGCAGGAGGAAGATGATGCCTGTAACTGGCACAACAGTGACACTGACACAAATTTTTGGTTTGTGGGTTTTTTTTTGACCCTAAGGCAATTGAATCTCTCTCATGCTATGATAAATTAAATATTAATTCCTTGTGAGAATTAAGTTTCTTGCTAAATTACTTGGATTTTTAAGTTTAACTGGCAGGCACTATGGGACGTGCCAGACACACTGGGAAGGAATGAGGCAAAAGCTGCTCTGGAACTTCACTTTTTTGATTAGTAGTTGTGAAATGTATCATCCTCCAGCCTCCTACAGGGAGTGTTGTCATAATCCTTCCTGAAGAGTGATTGTCTGACATTTTTAAGGTACTCATCATCTCAGAACTCCAAAGAAGACATTAAGCAATTTATCATAATGACAGATCTCTTGTGGCAGGGATGTCAAAACTGGGCTGCTTATATATTATACAAACAAAAAAAGTCTCTTTTCTCCTCAATAGAACTTCTAGCATCAGCTTTTTATACAGCTATTACCAAACTTATTTATATTTTCCTCTTCCCACTAATACTATTTTTTAAAACCTTTGAGCGTGATGAGGAGTTTAAGGGTTTAAAATTTTGATTTGTTTAATTATTTTGTATTCTAGTGCATGTTTATAGGCAGTTATTCCATGCTGACTCTTCACTTTATGTAGATTTCCCCTCCAAACCTGAGGACAGTGTTTTCTAATGTTTGTTTAATTTCATTTTGTTGGAGGCAGGTGGTAATGGAGTGAATTGAAATGAACACTAATGAGAAAGGAAATGAGACATGCTCCTTCAATTAAAACTCAGCATGAAATTTGTCTTTCATCCTCAACTACTTTACAATTTATTATTAAAATCTCATCTCTTTGCATTTTTAGTTTGTACATGGAGAGGGGGAAGCCTTTTACTACCTTGGCTTCCTAAAGTGATTATTCCTCTTCCCCACCAGCTCCTCCTTTAAAAAAAGAGAGAGAGAGTGAATGCAGTCACCCCTTCTCTAAAGCTGAAGCAATATCAGAGGAGCAGACAGTGAAAGCTTGACTATGTGAGTGTTATTTAGAAAAACAACCAGAGGAATTGGTGCCACCACCTGCCATGGTCAGTGTTTGTAGATGACCAGCTATTTCTCACCCTCCCCAGGCCTCCAGAGCCATCTCATGCAACTGGTCACACAGCAGCTGAATTTGCTGAGCCTCTTCCTGCACCTCGTGGTCCACAGCCACAGGTAGCCCTGTCTCCTGCTCCCTGAAGCTGCCTTCACTGCTGTTGGTGTTTTGCTGACTCCAAGGCAGGCAGGGCCAGCTTGGAGCAGCCTTGTTGAGCCATGCCAGTCTCTGCTGCACAGGGGCTGGTTTCAGACCTGCTGTCTTAGCCCAAATTCCTCCACAGCAGTGGGATCCCAGCTGTGAGCAGCCTGGAGTGTTAGGCTTGAAGTCAGTGTAGCAGGATACTTGTCCTGCTCTCCTCCTTTCATTCCTCCTCCATCCCCATGCTCCCAGTAGGGGATTCTGCTGCTGAGGTTCTCTACTCCAGTCTTACACCCTCCACTAGCTCATCCTCAGGCACCTTGTTTTGCACAGAAGGCTCCTGATGCCCTTTTTCCAATGCTCATTGCTCTTGAGCCCTTATCTTCTCTTGGTTCTGGGATGTCCACCTGGTACCTAAAATTTGTCATGACAGAGTCCTCCTCAGCCTCCTTCACCCTCAAGTAGTGCTCTGTGCCTCCTGAATGTTGTCATCCTGGTTTTCCTTGTTGTCATCCTGGTTTTCCTTGTTGTCATCCTGCCCCCTGTTGCTTCAGCACCCCCATTCAGGCTGGGGGCTGCATCTTCTCACTCTCATTGCCCCCCAGCTTTGCCCCCAGGCCAGGGTGGTGTCACCATTTCCTTCCTAGTCCTGCCCCTCTCCACCTCTGTCCCGTTTGAACTCAGAGCTGGGAGCTTTCTGCCATCCACAAAGATTCCTAACAACATCTAGTCCCTGTCAAACCTCATTTTTTGAGCCATTCTCCCAATAATGGCTATGCAAGGAGATGGTGCCTTGGGGAACGTGGAGCTAAGGATCCCTTTTTGTGTGGAACACCATCCTCTGGAGTTTGAATCCAGGCTTTTGTTGTCTGGCTGGCAGATACACTGCATTTGGTTGATATGCTGGTTCAAAATCATCCTAATCCTACAGATTTAAAGTGTTTTCTTGATGTTTTTAGCACTCTGGTTGAATTAAATGTTTCCTCTTTGCAAGGTGACAGACAGCAGTGAGGAAGAAGACAACCTGATAGGCCCAATGCCTGCAAAGGGCCCCGTGGAGTCTGATGTGGCTGAAGAATTTGAGCGCAGGGCTCAGAGAATGAAGGAGAAACTGACTTCAGCAGACAGTGTAGGTTCCATTTCTTCATTTCTTCAGGCTTTGTTGGGGGAATCTCTTTGTGCTTTTCTTTGCCTGTTCCTGTGGGGATGCAGTTGCAGTTCTGCTCAGTGTTGCAGTTGGTAAGGGTTAAAATCTGTGGTTTCTGCAGGGAGCAGAGATTCAGGCAGCAGGTTTTGGATTATGCTTTTTTCCTCCCTATTCTCCCCACCCTCTCCATTTCTCTTGGAAAGGATGAACCCAAGCAAGTCACCAGGGAATCGTGGATGACAGAGCTTCCACCTGAACTGAAAAGCTTTGGATTTGGGCCAAGAACCTTCAAGAGAAGAGCTGATGACAAATCAGGTGATAGATCTATCTGGACAGACACTCCAGCTGACAGAGAGAGAAAAGCCAAGGTGAGCATCCATCATGAACCCAGCCCTGCAGGCAGCATGTGTGCTGTTGATATCCTGTGAAAGCAAAGATACCCTGAGCTGTTCAATGAATCTTTTTTTTTCCCCTGGATTTTCCTTTTTTCTCAAAATTTACTAATTCAATCTTAAAGGTAAAGGCAAGAAAGGAACACTTTAGAGTCAGGTTGATATTCATGTGGGCCCTCTCCCTTCTCAGCTCTTTGAATTTCCATTTACAGTGTGTCCAGTTTCTTTTATCAAGCTGAGCAAAACAATATCTGGTGGCCTCAGTCGTGGCCTCTACCCTTCTGATTTAATTAAAGACAGATTTCCTTGCTATTTACTTCAGACATTGTGATTACTACAGTGTGTGATTTGCTTCTACTCATCAGGAAAGGGAAGAGGCAAAGAAGTCAACCAGCAAAGACAATGGAGAAACTGTGTTATCTGGGAGAGACAAGAGACTTATTGAGCAGGTGACTTCATACAATGTAAGTGGAACAGCAAAATATTTCTTCTTCCTGCATTTCCTTTCAGTCTTCACTCTCTTCTTCTGGTTCTCATTTCCAGAGCTGCTGGTTTCCATGGTGATGCCAGTACACACTTCCATTTTCATGCCCATTTTCTGCTGTTTAAGCCACTGGAGCATTTGGCACTGACTCCAACAAGAGCAGGACTTGGGTCCCCAGCCTGCTGCTGAGAACAGAGTGACAGGAGGGGGGGTTGTGGGTATTGTCTCCAGTTTAGGTGACATTTTCCTGATTGACATTTCCCAGCCCTGTCCACCAGAGTGTATGAACCGTTGGCTGACTCACAGCTCCTCACTCCAGCTCTTCCCTGATTCATGGCCTGAAGCCTCACAGAAGGCAGTCTGCTCTCTGGAGAGTGTCATTACCATGAGAATTCCAGCCTTGGCTTATATTACATGATTGAAGTTTATCTGGCACTTTTAATAATTCATTTGTAGTTCATTAAATCACGTGTCCCTTTTGATTTAGAGGCTTGCAGATCCAGAGCTATTAGCACAGTGTCCTGAATTTCTTCTCTCTTGCCTGTTTCTGCTCTCAGTGGGAATGGATGGAGAATAATTTTCTTGTAAAACTACAGTTTTGCTCCAGAATAAAACACAGATAGGCCTTTACTGTTTGAAGGCTTAATGGAGCTCTCTCAAAAAGATTGAAGAAGGCATCTTGTTGTTCTGTTGCTTTTTTAAAAAAATCATCACATTTTTTGGGTGATTGTGGTTTTTTTTTAAGTTTTTCCCCCTGTTCCTTCCAATTTCTTTCTCCACTGACCTTTCTCAAGGATACTTTCATAGAACAGGACCTTTCATTCTTAAAATAGTATTTTTGCAGTTAATTCTTTCAGTGCTGAGATAATATTAATACATTTTACCTGAGGAAAGGAGAGGCCACAGTCTTGTGAGGACCAATCCTGCTCGTGTGAGATCAGCACAAGTTTTATGTTGTATTTGGGCTGTGTCATGGTCTTTAACAAACACAACAGGTCCTTGAGGTGGCAAAACACATGCTCAGACCTGTGACTTTGTCCTGGGGGCTTGCAGCAGGTGATTCAAATACTGAAAAGAGCAAAAACAGAGTTAAAAACACAGCAGTGCAGGAGAGTGAGATCAAAATGGTGTCTGGCTTGTTCTGCCCCTGGCAGTGACCAGAGCCAGGTGCTCAGGGGATGTGTGTAAGAAACTGAGCCTGTACTTGGAGCTATTTCTCTTTCATAGAATCCTTTAGGTTGGAAGAGACCTTTAAGATCATCAAGTCCAAGCATAATAATGGCAGAGCAACTTCTCTATTTATTTTGTGTTATTGTAACAGTTTTTCTCCACCATCAGTGGAGATTCAATGATATTATGGGCATCTTTAACAGCACTGAATGAAATGATTTGTATTTTATTCAGTGTAGACAAGACTACTTGTGCTTTCTGCTTTGTCAGTGCTCCAGTTCTAATTCTGTTTCTTTAACCTTCCTCATTTCCACTTGGATTTTCTGTACGTTGTTGATATTTCATCATACTTTATTTCCTTCTCCCTGTTTTTCCAGGAGTCAAAGAGGTCAGAATCCCTCCTGGACATGCACCAGAAAAAGCTGAAGAGCAAAACCTCTGAAGAAAGGAGCAAACCTCAGGAGAGGAGACCCTTTGACCGAGACCAGGATCTCAAAGTCAATCGATTTGATGAAGCACAGAAGAAAGCTCTGATCAAAAAATCCAGAGATCTCAATTCTAAGTTTGAGCACAGTAAAGGCAATATGTTTTTATAACAAGAAAAGCATAAAGCTTTTTTTTTTTTTTGAAGCTAATTAAGCTTTGAATACTTAATTTTTTAAGTATTTTTTTTCTCCTGTAAATATTTGTATGCAGAATAAATATCCTGATGTTTAACTCTTTTTCCTTGTCTGTAAATACTCTCTTAGGGAGGATCACCTGTCCTAAAACTTACCTGGTAAAGGAAAGTCCTGATATAAAAAAAGGAGAATGTAAATTTGCTACTTTAAAACGCTGATTTATTGTTGTTGTTAGCATAAAAACAATTAAAATAAGTATTATTTTAAGGAGCTCTAGATTTGATCTTGCAACAGAGTCCGTGCTTGAGATATTCTTGCTGAGCCTGACCTGAGGGCTGTGGAGAAACCCCCTTGAGGCTCACAGGCAGGAGGATGTTGTTTGGCAGGAGTATAAAATCAAATAACAGCTTTTGTGTCTGCCCAGTGCTTTTATTTCCAGGATTCTGTACATAAATAGAGGTTTATATGTATGTGGTATAATCCCTGTGCTATAGGAGGCACTGCCAGTGGTAAAAACACCTCAACATTTGCAGGCTTCATTATAAAATGGTAGGATGCAAGAAGAGAAAATCTGAGTTTTGTTTTGCAGGGCTTGTCATCAGAAGATCCAGCTTTCAGCAAGCACAGTGTGAAAATCAAACTAAAATAAAGCTTTGGGGTTTTTTTTGTCAGTGAACTTGCAGAGCAGAATGGTATCAAAAAGGAAATAAACCTGACATTTAAAAACAATCTCTCTCCATGCTTGGAGTTGTTCAGCTCTTCTCTGTGTGTGTGGAGCAGCTGAAGGGAATGAGAATTTCCACTGCCACAAATAAATGTTTAAATACAACAGAGAATGGGATTCTGTTTTATGGGGCAGTTTATTTTGCCACCTGAAGACTCTGCTGCCTTCAGGAGGAAGAGGGACTGGGTTTGTGTTGTGTTTTTAATTCAGCCAGTTTTCAGTTCCTGAGCCTTTGTGGTTTGAGGTGAGAGGGTTTAAGCACAGACTGTTTATTCCTCCTCTCCTAAAACAGACTTCTTGGTACCTGAAGCTTTTCTGTCTTGCTAGGTTTCTGAGTTGTCTCCTTCCCCTTTTTGGGGAGCTCTCCTGGAGCTGACAGTTAAAAAGCACCTCTAGCAATTGAGCAAATGTAGATTTCTTAATTGGAAAGGCAATGTGAAGAATGTTTGGCATCTTTTTAGGCAGCTAAAGCAATGCCAGGGTGAGCACCTTGTGAGAAGATAAACCTTCATGTTGAGAGAAACTTATATCCAATTTGGGAAAGTACTACTGCATACCTTGAGAGATCAATTTATCATCTTATGCTGAAAGAGCTGCTCAGCTCTGGCCTGCCTGCTATAAAAGTGACCAGGTTTTAGTTACCTTTTCATCACCAGCTTGAGAAAGGAAAACAAGAGCACTGAGAGGATTCACTCACAGTCACGTACTAAAGGTGATAATTCAGTTATCTGATGTACAGGTTATTGCCCAAAAAAGCAAGTTTCCAATAAAAAAGAAGCCAAGAAGCCATTGCCAAAGGTGTCACAGGTCTTCCTGCTGCTGTCATAGAATCCTTTAGAATCCTAGAATCCTTTGGGTTAGAAGAGAGCTCCAAGATCACCAAGTCCAACCATCAAGCCAACACTCCTGAGTCCTCTGCTCAAACAGAATCAGAATCTGTCAGGGCTGGAAGGGACCCCAAGGATCCCCCAGTTCCAACCCCCCTGCCATGAGCAGGGACACCTCCCACTAGATCAGGCTGCCCAGAGCCTCCTCCAGCCTGGCCTTCAAGACCCCCAGGGATGGGGCCTCAGCCCCCTCCCTGGGCAACCCATCCCACGCTCTCCCCACTCTCCTGGGGAAGAACTTCTTCCTCACGGCCAGTCTGAATCTCCCCACTGCCAGCTCTGCCCCATTCCCCCCAGTCCTGCCACTGCCCCCCAGCCTAAAAAGTCCCTCCCCAGCTTTCCTGTAGCTCCCTTCAGATCCTGGAAGGCCACAAGAAGGTCCCCTGGGAGCGTTCTCCTCTCCAGGCTGAACAGCCCCAACTCCCTCAGCCTGTGCTCCCAGCAGATCTGCGCCAGCCCTCGGATCATCCTCGTGGCTCTTCGCTGGCCACGCTCCAGCAGCTCCACATCCCTCCTGTGCTGGGGGCTCCAGAACTTATCTTTTACAAATATTTCAGAGCCCAAAGGAGCTGCCTGGTCACCCACTGGTGCTGTTCTTCACTAGCCCTGGGAGATGAGCACAGCCCAGCAGGCTGACACGTTCTGAGACACAACCCTCAGGCTTCCTCCTTTGGCACCTCCTGTCTCCCTGCTGTCCTGAGGATGAAACGTTGCCTGAAAATGGACTTGGAACCTCTTGGCTGGTTTGAGGCACTCAGGAAAGGCAGAGACCCCCATCAACATCTAAATACCAACAGCAGGTGAGATGGGACACGATGCAGGCAGCAGAGGCACCATCCTATTTCCACTGCTGCACACCCCCCAGTTACCAGCTGAACAGTTTTGGTTGCAAAGTCACCAAAAATAAACCCTCTTCACAGGGAGAAATTCTTGTTTTGGCAGCTGAGACAGCAAAGAACTGCCAAATGCTTGGGAGTTTGAGATGCAATAGGCACAACTTTGCAAAGGCAAAAGAAAGGTTTTTTCTCAGCTTGTCAAAAGTTAGGCTGCAACTTTTCATCCCAGTCAGCTGGCACCAAGTGCTTCCAACAGGCACCAGTTCTTCCAGTGCAGACACTCCACCTGTAATCTCCCAGCCCTGCTCCTCAAAGAAAACCCACAAAACTTTCCCTAGGTAGATCTGGGAACAGATCTCATCACTTTTCTGAATACTAATGGTTGTGAGCACATTACCATCCTCCTCTCTCAACCACCCCCACTCACCTCTCAGTGCTCCACATTTAGCTATTATTATTCTGCAAATTACCTGCCTCTCTTTTTCCCCTCAGGAGGTAACCACCAATATCCTCTTTACATTCCACAGGTGCTGGCAGATGTCTGCCTCAGATACAAGCCTAATTAAACCCAAAACAACTGCTCCCCAGGTGCAGTTGGGTTTGAAACTCACTGCACCTTTCCTGAGGAGTGTGCATGTCCCAATATTTATCTGCTTTCCCCAGCTATATGAGCTGGCTTCACAGAAGCTCTTACACCTACCTAAAAACCTTCATCTTTGAGCCTCTGACAATACTGCCACAGCAAACAGCTCCAGAAATGGGAAACACTGGGGGCACTGGGTTGTGGAAAAGAGAGTTGAGCTTCACAGATCTTCAGTTCTGTTTGGCAGGACACAGTTGGGTTTGAACACTTGGTTCCAAGACAGTGGGAAGCATTGACCACATGGGGCTGGGCTGTGCAGGAGAGAGAGGAGCTCTGGGACCAGCCTGCAGGGTGACCTCCTGAAGGAGCATCACAATAATTTGTATTTATCCCCTTCAGAGTATCAACAGAGGAGGTGAATCATAGAACCACAGAATCCTTTAGGTTGGAAGAGAGCTCCAAGATCATCCAGTCCAACCATCAAGCCAACACTCCTGAGTCCTCTGCTCAAACAGAATCAGAATCTGTCAGGGCTGGAAGGGACCCCAAGGATCCCCCAGTTCCAACCCCCCTGCCATGAGCAGGGACACCTCCCACTAGATCAGGCTGCCCAGAGCCTCCTCCAGCCTGGCCTTCAAGACCCCCAGGGATGGGGCCTCAACCCCCTCCCTGGGCAACCCCTCCCAGGCTCTCCCCACTCTCCTGGGGAAGAACTTCCTCACATCCAGCCTGAATCCTGTCACCCAGTGTTCAGTACAGCATGGAGGCCAGCCAAGGCTTTTCTCATACCTGAAGTATTTTTTGCATCTCCTCCCTCAGGGTGCTTCTCTAGGTGTCTTGTAAGGGCTGGGTTTACACTGCTCTCTCTCACTGGATCTCTAGGAGGGTCTCTCTCCTCAACTGGACCTGCAATTGCCATATATGCATGGAGGTTTAGTATCTTTGAATCACAGAATGATACAATGCTTTGAGCTGGAATTGACCTCCAAAGCTCATCTAGCCCAACCCCTCCACAGTCAGCAAGGACATCCCCAACTAGATCAGGCTGCTCAGAGCTCCATCCAGCCTGACCTTGAATGTCCCCAGAGATGGGGCCTCCACCACCTCTCTGGGCAGCCTGTTCCAGTGTTTCACCACCCTCATGCTAAAGAAATTTGAGATTGGGTTGAAATTTGAGATTGTGTTGAAAGTGGGAGATGGTTTCAAAAGCTAGGGGAGGGGATGAGTGTCAGTCAGACACACACCTACACAGACAGCAGGACCAGGAGTGCCTCCTTCCTGCAGGAAAACAAGCTGCCTGCTCTGCAGTCATGGCATTCAAGGCTCCACTGTAATGCAGAAGCACAGATGGACAGAAAGAAAGCTGTGTGGGCAGCCTACATTTTGGCCCCTTTTAACCCTTTTTACCCTTTGGCTCCTCAACTTTGCAGTTTTAATGACTCCCTCAAGGAACTGGTGCTCTGTGGGATGCAGCACATCATGTGACAGCACGTTAACCTGGGTGGAGGCTGTTGAGGTGTCAGAAGAGGCCTCATTTTGTGTTGATTTCCACCTTTCTTACACTCCTCCCACACACACTCTCCCCCACGAAGAGTGGATTCACCACCACGTGCCCAAACCCAGAAGATCAGTGACAAAAATCCATCCACATCTTTGTCCCCATGCCACAGAGGATCAGTGACAAAAATCCATCCCCCTCTTTGTCCCCATGTCACAGAGGATCAGTGACAAAAATCCATCCCCCTCTTTGTCCCCATGTCACAGAGGATCAGTGACAAAAATCCATCCCCCTCTTTGTCCCCATGTCACAGAGGATCAGTGACAAAAATCCATCCCCCTCTTTGTCCCCATGTCACAGAGGATCAGTGACAAAAATCCATCCCCCTCTTTGTCCCCATGTCACAGAGGATCAGTGACAAAAATCCATCCCCCTCTTTGTCCCCATGTCACAGAGGATCAGTGACAAAAATCCATCCCCCTCTTTGTCCCCATGTCACAGAGGATCAGTGCCAAAAATCCATCCACCTCTTTGTCCCCATGCCACAGGCCAATGGTTCTGACCCTCAAGC